CCCCGAACAACTTTTATTCATCCATTTGCACTCAGACTGACTACTTTTCAGATAAATGATGATCCGAAAAAGTCTTTTACAGTTCTTCATTCTTCTGGTTTCAGATTTGCTTTTCATGCTTGCAAAACAAATAGCTAAGCCTGGTGAACAGTGGTAAATGAATACATGCCACCTACACTGGACTTTTATTCGTTATCCACCGGGATCATTACGTAGTTCTTTTTGGATAATGGAAACTGCAAAACATAACACAACCGATTATGATTGTTCTACTGTGAACAATAAGCCTTACTCCAAGCCATGGTGCACCGCACAACACAATAAAGCCATGATTCACCGTTCTCGAAGAATATCACCCCACCATTGCCACACACACCACCGCAACTCTCTTTTTTGAAACATAAAAGAAGATTATGTGAAGGGATGTGAAAACAGTTTATCTGAATTAAAGAAAAATGATATTGACAGCAGTTATCGCGTAATCATATACACATATACCCGTTGAGCGATTATGAATGGTAGTCAGCGCGGAAGAAGTATAAAAGGACACAGTAAATCCCATCAGTATTTGTCAAACATACTGTCATAGCCACTGTCTCGTAGGGTGGAGTCGTCACACGAGCTCTGCTGAAAAAGAACAAGAATGATTAATCAATATGTCTATGTGTAAAGAAGAAAGTACTTACCGATTTGAGCAACTCCAGTCGTGCGGTGCGCAAAAATGCTGTTGTTCGGCTCGTGCTGTCGCTGCTTGTGCTGGTTGTTGTGGTAGCACGTGGGTGGGTGTTACCAGATTCTTCTCGATTCAACACGGACATCAACTGACGAATATAAGTGATTGCAGTTCGTAATGTGCGTATCTTGGTCAGTTTTGTATCCTTGGGTATTTCCGGCAGACACGAACGAAGCTGACCGAAAGCCGCATTCAGTGCTCGCGTCCGGATTTTGTCTTGGACGCGTTGGTGTTGCTTACGCGTTGGGATGCGCTCACGAATATACGTTCCGGATTGGGGCTGTACGTGGTTAGAAGATCGAGTGATAAACAGGAGGTAAAAACTAATTTTGAAGAGATGAGAAATGGGCTACCATTTCTGGTTGTCCTTTGTGAGTAGTTCCATTACGTTAACTTAAGTACACCTGGAAAAAATGGCACTGATATTACATTTCCCTTCTACATTGGCGTCGGGCATGGAGCATGAAGTGTCTGAGTGCTTCATCTGGTTGTATAACAACTAATTTTAAACCTCACATTGTCTGTTCAATGCAGAGCGACGTTTAGATTTAGTTTTTTAACAAATCTCACCTGCTGACCTATTGTAGTTGATCCTTCTTCGCCACAAGTGAAATCTCTGCCTTTTAAATTCGAGCCTAGCTGTTATGCCGACCTCGTGTGTACCGATGGAGGGTGTGTACATCTCGATCGATCCGATCTATCCAACAAAAGAATCAGATCAGGAAATTTCCCTTCTAAAGATTTATTTGTTATCCAAGTGAAATAACACCATCAACCAAAAATCATATTAAATCAATTATTCATCGAAATGACGAAGGTGAAGTAAGTAGGGAGAACGGATGGATACACATTAAGATTGTTTGATTATTTTATTGACTACCAGAAACCAACTCACAATCCTGTTCGTTAGCTCGCTTTACTTCTGATCAAACAAACGGTGTAACTGAGCTGATTAGTCCACAAGCCGCAGAACCTAACGTATCGTGGAGATATCCACTATTTCGATAGACATCAGTCACTGTTGAGTGAATTCCGAATGAATTGTCTCAACGTAATGACTCAGAAAAGAAAATGAATGGCGTGAGCTTAAAACTGTCCTACAAACGGCTACTGGAAGAAAACGATGAAGTTGGTTAGGTAACGTGAAACTATCGATTCTGTACGTGGCATCATTGCATAATGTTTGCGAATCGCTGGTCCCCGTCATCACTCAGCTCGTGTGACTACGATCCAATAAGATAACCGCAATGGGTAAAACGACTAACGGTTATTGTTTATTACTGCTCAGAGTTTGCGGATTGTTAATAATAATAATGATAATGATACCAAAGCGAAAAAAAATAATAACAGTCCATAAATGAGGCAGTAAATTGACTCACTCTGCAATCCCCGCCAACTGATTCTGGAGTGAAATCGAATTGATCACCTGCACCACTGTCGGTAGGCCTTTGCCTGAACGGTGTGGAGTAGGTAAATCCCCGATTGGATGTGTCTCCAGTATCATCTAACGTTTTTCGACTGGCAACAGCATAAGCCGCTTCACATCTTCCCATATCCAAATGAATTGCTGTATCGGATTTTGGAATCCTTGCATCATCAGCACGAGATAGACCATGGGGATATTGTGCTGACGGAGACCAGTGTGCTTCCGGTAGATTTATCTGATCGGTTTGTGTGTCCAGATTTGATCGGTTAACGGTATGAGGTGTATTGTTCCACTTTGCATTCGAGTATAACGTCTCATACAACCAGGTATCACTCGTAGTCAGAGCCGAATCGTCCAAAACATTCCACAGACAATTCGGGGACGGAAATCGTGGGGCTAAATGACTAGACCGGTGCATCTCATCTTCGTCCATTCCACTCGGTCTCGATGTGTTACATTCTGCCGGTACATCTGATTGATGGACAGGAAAATTCTTATAAAAATACGCCTGTGTAATTGATTCAGGGTTGTGCCTATCTATCTCCTCTTCCTCATTGTCAATGTGGTCGTCATTTTCTTCTGAACAGTTTGCTTGCCTAATAATATCCCCGATAGCGGCTTCCAAACATGTTGGTCGGGTAAAGTGATACATGTCCAAATGGGATCAGTGAGTACCAGGGCAGCAGTGTTTGATCGTATTTATACGGTGCTGAAGTTGCTGCTTCGTATCTTCTCCCATGGTGCATGATGTGACCTTGCGTCTCTCATCCCATGATGTCCCCCCTGTCAACCTCTCCCGGGCTCCATCATCAGGGATGAATATTTACGAGCTGCACTTCAATTCTCACTACCCCTCC